CAGTAGTAATAGTATCAGTAGGAACAGCAGTTACTGTAGTAGTAGTAGAATATCTTGTCATACTACTACTAAATGAAGGTCCCATAACTGATGACAGTGAAGTGGTATCTGATGTAGTTGATGTTGTAATGTAATTAGAAGGTGTACCAGTAGTTACTGGTATGGGTTCTATAATGGGAGAGTTTATTGATGTTCATAATACTGAATAAAAGTTATTCTTACCTACTACAACTGAGATGAGTGGATAGTCATTGGTATCTAATGCAATTAACTCATTGTTGTCCCCCAGTCTGTAATTGTGTGGTCCATTGTATTGTTGATAGTACATATAATTTGTAGCATTACTTTCAATCATCAGTATATCACCAGCTTGTACTGCTATCTCATTGCTCATAGTAAAATTATATAAAAGAGAAGTTATCCTAACAGCATTACTAGCACTAGTGTTCAATGTTGCTGCTGTAGTAGTGAGATTATTTGAATGTCTTATTTTTATTACTGGCATAACTAGTGCAGGAGCAACAACTATCCAGTTAGTTATAATACCATGACATGTGAACCTTATATCAGGAAATATTCTAGTGTCAGAAACATAATATGACTCAGTAATAGAATAGCTTAATGAATTGACTATGTCATCAGGTACAAATTGTGCAAAGCAGCCTAAATTAATAGAATGGTCTATTCAATTATGATTGATTTACCGTGTAGTGGGAAATTTTGGAGGGACTATAACTTGGTGAATTGCTAAATTTGGGTGATTAGTGAATTTTAATATGGCAAATTTGTGACCATGTGCCATTGAGCATGCGTATAATGGCTCAAAATGGCAGGTTTTATTTTGGCGAATGGCTATCTAATTTAACTCCCTCCAAAATTTCCCACTATATGGTATACATACCTGTATCCTGTACTACTGGGAGTATTAGTATAGTTATTTCTTCACGGTTAACCTGTAGTCGACCTCCTCCTAATATTTTAATGTTACTGTTATTAATGTAATCTGATTGTACTTTTCCAGTTCTGTGATGATCAATACTACTAGGACCATTACCATCTAAGTCAACATAATGGAATCTAACAACACTTCTATCACCAGGAGGTTGATATACACCAATCCTGTATCCACTGGAGACATTTAATGGAG